AATTCTACAAAAGAATAGATAATTGAAATGATGAATTTTTAATTTTATATTTTACTTTTCACCTAACACAGTTGAAAGTAAAGAAACAGAGCCACTAGTAATTTCTTTCTCATAACTTTAAAAAAAATTATCCTTGTACAACAAAATGGTCTCATTTTAAAGGGAACTAAATTGGGATGATAACAGGGTATGAACATTAAAAATCTAATTAGTCCGTAAGTTAGGTAATGAAAAAATATTAGACACATATTTTTTTATTTTTTCGTAGATAAAACAATACTTAGATAAAACGAATCAAAGTTTAGGAGTGTGGGCTTAAACGTCATTTCTAGGTATAAAATGTACATAGAAGTGACGTCACGCGACATGTCAAATCAATATATCGTCGAATATATTCGTTTCTGTAAGAAAATAAAAAGTACGTGTCTAATGATTTCAAATAATCTACCAGACGGACATTAAAACAAAAATTAGGCGTCTACACTATTGAGACTATCCAGTTCGAATGATGTAAAAGTATGTCTATTTCACTTTATTTGAAGTAATTTGTGAACCTTTGTAGAATATTTATGTCTTAAAAATTTGAATTATAATTCCCACTGCAGCTACAAAGAAGTGGATAAGTTAATTCGGTGACATATAAATGGACGTTCATACAATCAAGATATGTGAACATCTACCCTACGCTAACTATAAACACCCTTATTACAATACACTAGCATTCAGTTCAGCTCGTTGCAAAGTATAGAAAAGTATTAAAAAATTAAACGAGCGAATACTTTCTAAAGATATAATATAAAACTATGTTTTTTTTTCAAGAAGTTCTTAAAAAGTTCTTTAGCTTCCAGCGTTATACAATTTGTGAGTTCGATCGCCCGCTTGAGCGGTTATTCGGACTCATTGCTGGATTTAGGTAAAAGCGATCTATTTTTTCATATTCACTTACATTGATAAGCTAAATTACCTTTACAAACGCAGCGTGGAAACATTTTCTACCTAGAACTACAATATTGATCTATAAAACACTATAATATAAATATATATATGTATAATATATTATAAACATTGTGACATATATTATATTATGTATGCAATTTACTTACAAACATTCAAAGGTCAGTTTCATTATTGCAATCAATTTGTCAATAGTCCAAGAAATTCCGAAGATATGTATTAGAATTCTGTCAACATTTTCACCTAAAATATAACAGAGTTATACATTAAAAAATAAGAAAATTTTATTCACAGAATAGTATCAATTTTTTTTTGTAAATCATCCAAAAATGCGCACAAATAGTCGCAGATATTAGTCGCATAATCGCATTAATGAAACTCCTTTTCATGAAGATATTATTCAAGTCAAAAGATATGTTATATTAGTGTATATTTTTCAAAGATTTCTTGCAATAGATAGTCCACTACATTTATTAAAAAATGACGAACTATTGCAACCAAAAAGTTCTAGGGAAGAACTTTACAATTGCAATTTATGGACGAAAATACTATATCAAATGGGTAGATACTTATTTATTACAAAAAATATGTTTAATAGCAAAAGAAACTCGAATCATCTGAATACAATGTTATTAACAATTGATATTATTTTTTTCTTAAAAACTATTAATTTATATTTTGAAAAATCTTATACACTATTGTCGATATCCTCTTATTGTTAGAGGTGTTATTTATTTAATATAAAAAAAAACGGAATATGATATTTAGAAAGGTCAAATAATAGCAGTCTTTGCTATAGGTATACTGTAACTAGCTTAGAATCTTTTTAGAGATAACTATGCTTAACTCGTCGAGTACCGGTTTTGTAGACACAATTATAGAACAATAGGTTGCGGTCACCGGTGACCGCTTGGTGTTTGACAGTTTAATATGTATTTTCTTCGTTAAAGAAATAAAGCTTTGATAATTTTATTTTAATCTACAATATTGCACACAAATAAACCAATCCCCATTAAGACCGAAGAAAAAACACACACTTCATTGCGAGACATACTAAATTAGCCTACGAACGCTGCGCGGCCGCCCACGCCGCCTATGGGGAAGGTTGGTGGGCCCCTTTGTGGCTCGAAACTAATAGAGCTTTTCCATATATGTATATTCGGGTGACTAACCCGCGATTTTTAGTTAATTCATCAAAAATTTATGAAAATTTTAGAAATCAACTTTCAGTTTCTCACCTATGACATTTTGCCACACAGACTAGTTAAAATTCCAAATAAATCCTTCTTCATTATTAATGTTATTTAAACCAATGATTACTTATTTCTTGACGATACCATTGACATTGTGAGAAGAGAATTCTACAATTGAACTAAGATCCTCCTTATTGGACTGATCAAGAAGAAAAAATCATAAATATCATATTCCGTTGTTCCATAATTGTATGTAAATTACATCTCGTATATAGTATACAATATTGTTTTTCGAATATACGACAAATTTGGTATACCGTACTCAATCACTCACTCTATTTTGTTCAATTTCTTTTTCTTATCCGGTGATTGCGATATGCTGTTCCACTTGCAGCATTCTTCATTCAATCTGTAAAGAAAAAAAATATATTTGACTCTCTCATTGATCAAAGTGGATTTTGTAATCTTTGCCAATTGGGTAAGCACCCAAGTTAAGTAAGTTAGCAAATGCCAAGTAGTTAAATTCCATACTTTTTTCGAACTGTTTAAAACTACAGTTTTCTATGAATTTTGTACGATATTATGACGTATAGTACGTATATTGTGACGTCACGTATCTTTAACGGAAAAGAGCATGCTTACTTCTAAAAAATTTGGTGGAAAAATACTATCATTAAGTTGGTCATAAAATCAATTACTGAAAGTGTGATTATTTTTTGATATTTTATTGTATTGAACAGTCGAAATAATTTATTTTTGATTAAGAAAATGTAATGTACTTAACATAAACAGTGAAAAGTTGGCGTTGCATTGTAGTGGCATTAAGTGCCGTAATGTGCACCTCTGCCTACCCCTTCGGGAATAAAAGGTGTGATGTTATGTTATGATCTGAATCTACTATAGTGGAATGTTGTCAAATTCCACCAGGCTGAACACATTCATACAATTACAAATTTCCAAAATATTTTTAAATATGTATATAATAATATATTTATTAAATAAGAGAGGGAAATTGTTAATTATTTAACGATATTGAAATCGAAATTCATTCACATGACATAAGATGAATCATTGAATTGGTGATTGGTGGCTTTCCCGTCGACAGCTCAAAACGTCAGAAGAATCGAGAAAAAGGTTTCGGTGTATCGTGTTTGGGCAAGTGGTTACTGCACATCATGTCACCTGTTCAAGTTCTCGGAACAACTCTCTGTGTGATCCAGAATATTTTCTTTTGTGTCTGGGTGTGAAATAATCACGACAAGAGCACAAATATGAGAAGAAATACACAAAAAATTATATGGGCTTGATATTTTAGCTCAATTTGGCACTTAATGCCACTGTACGTAGCACCCACTTTTCACTATTTATGTTATGAGTCCCATGTAATAGGGGTTGATTGCCATATACCGCGCACAATTCCAGACTCCGTGCTACTATCAGTAATATCCTCAGGGATATTATACAAAGTCAAAGTCAAAGCATTTATTTCAATTAAACCATAGTTTGGTACTTTTGAAACGTCAACAAATACAAAATAAATAATAGTCTGTCAGTCAGTCCGTCAGTGAAATTAGGTGAAGCTAGGTGCTCATTCCAAAATGTAGATTTGGATGGAGAAGAACGAGCAAGCAACTCCATTCGTTACTCTTTTTTAAAAAAGTATGTTCTACAATGTCTCTGATACATATTTCAATACTGTACGCATATGTAAGAACAACAACATTATACATTACCTAGCGTATTTTGGGCGCAGATCTGTCGTTGCAGTGTTTGTTGCGACGTAACGTTGCGCCGCGTTTTATTTGTTCCATTAGCGACGTGTGGCAAATACGAGGATCCGGCTGGAAACAAACAAATTAACTAAATTAATGTTTAACATTTCAAGAATTCTATGGGTTCCATTGCAGGGTTCATCAAGAATTATTAGTATTATATATGTCTTCACCAAACACGGAACCACAGGGTCCCGGTTGTTTAGGAGGCGTACGAGGAGCCGAAGCCAACTGTGCAGAGGCCCTTTAGACAACTTCAATCTAAATTTAATGGACATACAGACGCAGACAGTGTATGGAAATGCATCCAAGGACAGTCCTCGGTTAGTGTAAAAATATTGTAGATAATAGAAAAAAGGTAGGGCTATGGATAGCTTGCTGTGGATTGTGGGAACTATGAATGACTATGACTATGACACCTGCCGAAACAATGTAATTATGACACGTAAAAATGGCAGGCGGAGACTCGCCAACTAACCGACCGGGCCCCCGTTGCTATATCTAGCAATGGTTGCTATATATCATAAATTCATAATATATCATAAGGCGACAACACGCGACATATGTCCCCCCGGGTCGAGCGCGGCCTCGTGCGGCGCCCAGTGGACACGACCAACAGCTTGCTGCTCGCTGGGCGCGCCCGGCCAGAGCGCTCCACTCGCCGCCACATCGGGCCCCGCGAGGAGACCGACTATTCCAACTATTCCAACCCCAGCGAATGAACCGAAACAGGCATCGGCCTGGACCGTGCGTCGCCGCGCCCCCAGAGAACTTAACGGGGTTACCCGGCTCGACGTGCAGGAGAAGGAACGGGGTGGTTTTTAGTCAGTAAGAGTCTGACACTCCCTCCCGCCTCACCCAGGCGGGACCAGTCATTCGATGATTTTCCCCCCTTAAAAAAAAAAGCCGGGTACGTAGAGATGATTCGACGACAACGACGTTCATAGTGACGTTGACATTGCCAGACATGTCGACCAAAGTCGCCCAACTTCGAGCTACTTCACCAAACGTTGCTGGTGACTTGTGTCGCAGGATTATCCCCTAGTGTATCGTTGGCCTAAAGATTCCTATTGTATTACAGTGAGTACCTGAGCGTGAGCATTGATGATGTCCCGCACGGACTTGGCGCGCGAGTTGTCGAGCTGGCGCCGCTGGTGCTGTATGGTGGCCGACAACTTGTCTAGGAACGCGGGCTGCACCGGGATTGTACCTGGAGATACATAGACATGAAGTTAGTTTTACGAATGAACTATCGTATCTAATAAAGAATAAGTTTTTTAAAATGTATTGTTTCTTTCATTTGTATATTTATTACGTAGTGTAATTGGTTTTTTGTACCGTTCTATTCGTATAAATAAATAAAAAAAAATTACGTATATAAGTTTTTGAAGAAGACCTTGTCAATCTGTTACGTACAATACCATATCTTACAATAGGTATCAATTTCTATTAAAAAATATCAAGTACCGTATCTAAAGGTTAATGGTATTAAATAATAACAACCTGTTAAGCATGTATTACTAACAGCGTTAACTTTTGCTCTATAACTTTGTCAAATTCATAACATTTTAAGTCAAAAAATATTCTAAAACTAGCTGTTACTCGCGACTTCGTTCGCGTGAAATTATTCATATTTCTTGTTAATTTATACTTTTTTGACGCGACAACGTGTTGATTGCCGAGGCGTATTTGAGAGCTAGTATGAAACGGAACGTTTATTGTCTACTCAAGATGGCGACTGCGGCTTGTCTGTCAATGTCATTAAAATGAATTAATAAAACGAAATAATCTCCGTAATCCGAATTTTGCGGATATAAGTTGTCGAATCGAAATCGATATTTTTTATGTTTTGTTATTCAGGTAATGTTTCGATTGAGTCTTCTGTACCTCTTGACGAAATTATTAATATACCTAGATATAAAAGTTTGGAAGAGTTTGATTCAGTAATAGTGGTTACCTTTCCCCTTGGCGGGAGTGTCAGCGGGCGAGATAGTAGAGACAGCGCGGCGCGACGTCCGCGGGGACAGTTGCGGCGCCAGCTTCGCGCTCAGGTGGGCGATGAGGCCGCCTTCTGGAACGGTACCACCCACTGTATATATACACTGACAAGATCATGTCCACAAACTAAATCGATTACCAAACTGCCTGACCGGAGATTACGGTGAACTCCTTTTAAGATACATTTTTATTGGACGTATTCCGGGTAATTTTTTTTATGGAATAGGAGGCAAACTAGCAGACCGATCACATGATGGTAAGCGATCAGCGCCGCCCATGGACACCCGCAACATCAGAGAAGTCACAGGTGTGTTGCCGGCCTTTTTAAAAGGAATATGCTCTTTTCTTGAAAGTTTGAAGGTCGTATCGGTGTCCTCCTTTTAAGATAAATTTTTCTTGGACGTATTCTGGCTGATTATAATGATTTCAATATATCCATGCACTTTTTAGCCTTGTTAGAAAAGCACCAATAACACAAAAAAGTAAAGAGAGTTGGAAATTGAAGAGTTTAGGTAAGAATTACTAGAGGAGAAGATATAGCAGAAAAGAGATAGTTGAGAAATGAGAATAACAGAGAAAAGAAGATATAGTATAGAAGAAGGAACCTTCTCCTTCTTTTCAGCTACATTACTATTATCGAACACAGGCGTAAGGTTGCAAGACTTTCGGTGAATGTGCGGAGGAATTCCACAACTCGATTCCCCCTAGTCCTTTCCATCATCGTACCACAATACAATCGGCGAAGCGTCACCGATTCATTATAGATGTCCCATCCACACGCACGAAGCGCTTCGCATCAAGCTTCCTTGTACGTATTGCTAAGGAGTGGAATTCTTTATAATCTAATCTAATTGGAATAGGTTGCTTATGGGTCGACGTGCTCCATCGTAGACCGCATCATCGCTTACCACCAGGCGAGATAGAGGTCAAACGTCGCCGCTTCAAATAAAAAAAAATCTTCTCAGCCGCATCACTTTTGACAGAGTGGTCGTGCTGAACATGATGACTCCGAATCAGTTGCTGTAGCTCGTCTCAGGATGTTCCACCATCTCTCCCGACTAACAAATATTTTTATGCACGCATGCACAAGCATTGAAGACAAGTAAGGATAATAGATTAGCAAGGACAGATGAGAAGTAGAGACAATAAGAATAGGGATGATGACAGGGTATGAAAATTAAAAATATAATTAGTCCGTAAGTTAGGTAATGAAAAAATATTAGACACATATTTTTTTATTTTGTTGTATAATAAAACAATACTTAGATAAAAAGAATCAAAGTTTAGGAGTGGGGTTAACGTATAAAATGCACATAGAAGTGACGTCACGCGACATTTCAAATCAATATATCATGGAAAGTATTCGTTTCTGTAAGAATATAAAAAATACGTGTCTAATGATTAAAAATAATCTACCAGACGGACATTAAAATAAAAATTAGGCATCTACCCAATTACTCAATACACTTACGTTCCAAATGATGTCTGTCCGCGCTATGCGACCTGGCGGCGATGTTCTTGCGCAGTGCGAGCGGACTGAGCGTGTCGTGTCGAGTGTCGTGGCGCGCCATACTGTTGAAGCCGGCTATGATCTCGGAGGGTTGAGCATATATCGTGCTTTGTCCGTATTTCTTGTCTTGTTGTGTTTTGAATCCTGCGGCAAGTGAGAATAAGGGTTAGTATTAAACACATACATACTTAAATTCATGCTTTTAAAAGAAAATGCATCAAAATAATTACTGGGTTTATAAAAATGCTCACGGAGTCTGGAAATGTGCCCGGTATATGGCAATAGGCTCACCCCCTATTACATGGGTCTCATAACATAAATAGTGAAAAGTGGGTGTTACATTGTACAGTGGCATTAAGTGCCGTAATGCGCACCTCTGCCTACCCCTTCGGGGATAAAAGATGTGATGTTATGTTATGATCTGGATCTACTATAGAGGAATGTTGGAATATTATAAAGTTGAAGAGTTTCTTTTTGTTTGTTTGTTTGTTTCAACGCGCTAATCTTCTAATTTATTTCTGTGTTGGATAGCCTATTAATCGAGGAAGGCTATAGGCTATAGAATATCACGTTATGATTAATAGGCGCCGAGCAGAGCGAGGGAAACCGCGCGGAAGTAGCTAGTGTAGTATATAAAGAAATGTTTTAAAACTGTATATTTCTTACCAGTCTGTCCATAATGGCTAGTTTCATTGGACATTCTTGGTCCGAAACTCGAGAACGAGTTGTTTTCTCCGTAGCTCGGAGTTGAGGGCGACGACCCGTGAGGAGAACCGCGACTTTCTGCGTATATACCTGCAAATAACAATAATAATAACATTAAACAATGTTTTCTGTCAAAAACATAATAAGTTCGAATCATTTTCGATAATGTCGTCAGGACCAAATGATATTCACATCTATTCATTTTTTTTTAATCTTTTACCTGTGATACAGATCAGACCCAGATTCGGCCATACGGCTTCACATAGGTCATAGTCTAATGTCCAATCAGTAGCTCATTATAACGTCGTTCATCGAATTCTAGACCATAAATGACAATTAATTACTGTGTACATATATCGGCTTGCTTATTATTTGTTAAGTATTTGACGAAGAACTCGACTAGTTTCACTGACAGAGCATCAGCAATAGCAGCGTCGCGGGTCGCAGAATGCTGCTCATAAATATGAGCCTCTAGCATGGCTTGAAACTAGTCGAGTTCTTTGTCAAACAGTTACATGAGTAAACCGAAAACCGTAATAATTAATTAAGTATGTTTCGCGAAAGGAATAAAATAAATAAAGAAAAACCAAATAATATGTAATTTCTTTTATGGCGTATGGATCACCTGATGGTAAGCAATCGACGCCGCCCATGGACACCTGAAACACCAGAGGCGTTACAAGTGCGTTACCGGCCTTTTGAGGATTAGAAGTTTGAGGATAGTTGGGGATTCAGGAATTGGGGAGATTGGGGAAGGAGAGGGTAAATGGGCCTCCGGTAGCCTCACTCACACGACGAAACACAACGCAAGCGTTGCTTCACGTCGGTTTTCTATGAGGCCGTGGTATCACTCCGGTCGAGTCGGCCCATTCATGCCGAAGCATGGCTCTCCCACACTTACAATAATATATAAATATATATACTTAACAATAATATTACAAAAATCACTCACCAGCATTAATCAAATCCGAATTGGAGCTATTCAAGCTATTCTTCCGAACGTACATAGAATTCTCGACATAGGCCATTATCTTATGTCCAGTCTGTCCATAAATGGGGTTCAGATTGCCTGTACTGTTCAGGCTCGTTGAAGATGAGAAGTTGCTCTTCGCCTGTTGGAACGTTGAAAGTGATGGCGTCGTTGGCGATTGTGGCTGGTTCTGATTTTGGTGAAGTTGTTGCAGGTTGCGTCGAACCAGGCCGGGGGACGCCGGCATGTGTTTTAGTTCGGTTAGTTGCTTCACTGTTTCTGCTACGTTGGAGTGAGCTGGAAGAAGTATATTTACTTGGTTTATGAAATTGTGATAGGAAGAATGGAGAGGGTTGTGTTTTTCGATTTTGATAATTATTATTATCTATTTATGGACCGCAAGATGTTTTGAGAAAGTAGGAGGCAAGTTTCTCTTTTACAAACTTTTCTAAAATAAAAGTAGCCTATGTTACATCAGCTACCTGCCAATAAAAGTTTTGCAAAATTGGTCCAGCTATTACAGAGATTAGCCAGTACAAATAGACAGATAGATAGACAAAATTGTAAAAATGTGGTCCATGTAGTAAAAAGCGGTTATTTTAATATAACAGACATTTCAATTCTATTTATCTGTTTAGATATAGAATATTTAATTATAAGACATCATATACTATATTAGATTGGCGATATATTAGAGAAGGGCCAAATTAAAAGTACCCTTAACCGACGAGCATGCATGAAAAGATTGATGACTGTTAATGAAGCGGAAGAGGTATGTAAGAATCGTAGTAATTGGCGTTCCTTAGTCTCTGCCTACCCCCATGGGAGACAGGCGTGAAGTTATGTATGTATGTATGTACATCATATACTAGAAATGACTGCATAAATTGTACCTATATATCGGTTTAGGGGCAACAAAAAAGAAAAAGTGTAATACTATAAAAAGTATGCATGACAAAGTGAATACTTAATAGCT